AGAATCTTGCAAAGAACAAGTCCCTACTTTCTTGTGCCAAATTCAGTTTTGTAAATTGCCTCATTTTCTGCCGTGTGCGCTGGGGAAAAGTTTTCGTTTTACAAGAGAAAGAATTATGGAGAATTTTTTGTTAATAACATATATATTGTCACTTGCGACGTGTATTCAGAGGATGGCATTATTATTTGTAGAAAAACCTTGTGCTGATTTATGGGAATATTTTTGTAAGTATGCCCACCTATGGGAAAGAATTTCCAGGCGTAAACCCTTAATAACAACTTTATAACTTACTCTCGTTTCGTTCAGGTAAACTAGAACAGCTGCTCAGAATGTATAAAACCGGCCGCCAGCTAAAAATAATCCACCGCTATGAATACACTGCCATCTTTCGGGAATTTTAGCTCGTAAATTATATATAACCAAGAGCGTATAAAGAAGGAATATCATTCTTTATACGCTCTTGATATAATGCATTACACACACACCGCCACATACATACATAGATACGAGCATGAAAACAATATCCTCCGCTGCACTACGTGCGGAGGATAACAACAAGAAATCAAGAGCGTATAAAGAAGGTAGGGGCCTACCTTCTTACCTTTTTTATACACTCTTGAACATATATACAGCAAACAGGTAAATATCTAAGTTTTCCGATTATATATTTTTTACAAGCAGCACCTTTAGACATGGGTTGAAACAAAAAATAAATATTCTTCACTTCAGATCAAGGTTGCTCTATTCAAAAAATTGTTATCACACTTGGAACCATACGCGTGTTGGACTTATTCCAAGTTGGTCCAGCTTAAAATATATCGCCATAACTTCTACGAAGAGTCAACCCGATTGGCAGGACGGTGTGGATGCGAATCAAGATTATGATATCGCATGCACGCGAAAACAGGACGTCAATTGGGAAAACCGCGCGAATATCTACTATTCATGCAGACAATCAAACTCGAGTGTTTGCGCAAGGTTTGGATGATTAACAAGTTTTCTCACCTTTGAGTTGTTGTTACCATCGATACTATGCTATTCTATAAGGCCAAGCATCTAATTACGTTAAGCACAGATAAAGTCGTATTCACAGCGAATCAAAGTGACTCCGGGCACTCCCGGCAGCTTTGCGATAGACCATAGATTTGTAAACGTTTCCGCATCCGGAAAAAGAAGATGAATGATGAGTGAAGAAAAGAACCGCGCCAAGAAAGCATGCTCACTTGTTCCACGCACCCACACGCACACACACATCCGCTCTCTGCTCTCACCTGCTCTGCACGTGCATACGCGTGCAGACGATAACATTATTGTTTAATATTAATCATGGAAATGGCTATGCGGTGATGCGAATGCACTTTCTCAACGAGCGTTAGCTCAGCGTTGGCACAATAGAACGAACACAAAGATAAGCAAGCCGCAATATGCCGCAGCAGCAGCAGCAGCAACACGAGGATTAAACTCCTCCGTGCCTGAATACGTCGCAATATTTAAAGGAAATTAATACCTCGATAATACCACACGCGCACACACGCGCACACGCGCACACACACGCGCATCACACACCTACAGTTAACACTACTCGCTTATCGAAACGTGTGCTGGAAACCCGTTGTTAGAAAGAAGCGTAAAGATGAACTGATGTGATACTCATGCTGTAAAACGACAGTGATTTTGCTAAAGCCTACCAGTACCAGTGCCAGTGGCAGTGTAGATACAATAATGTAACCCAAACACCGGGTAGGGGGGGGGGGGTTACCTGTGTTACATGGGGATCGTGGGTATATATTTGCTATAGTTTATAAATTATAGTATAGTATGTACAATGTTATGTTGGACCACAATGGAAATAAGTGTGTTAGCCACGCTTTTTTGTGTTTTCATCCTCGATAATTTTCTAGCTGCATTTTGTTTATTTATGCTGTTATCGATGTAATGTATGCTTTAGTAATTATCGAAATAAATAAATCAAATCAAAATCAAAAAACCCTGTGTTTGGGTTACATTATTGTATCTAGTGGCAGTGCAGCTACTAAAATAAAATAAACACTTACTGTTTTGTTTACACACATCTCCTTGGTGTTTAGTTGAGAGTGTCTCATACGCTTGCATAATAAATATTCATATGCTTTGCACTATAAATATCAAATATCAGGAGTGAATCAAAACAGATATTTCTATACATTGTGTATAATGTTTTAAGGTACCACGGTGGCAAATCCACCAATGAGCGTTGGGATAGGTCAAAAATGAGATCGTATTTGAGTGTACGCGTACGCTTGAATTTTGAATTTCTCATTAGAAAGGGTCAACACTCTTTGCAAATGTTAATTTCAAAAACTAGAATCTTTTCTGGTTTCCGACAGTGTAAACGACTCGTCCGAGGTGCGTTGCTGGGGCGGCCCAGGAATTTTCAAAGAAAGCCTACTTTTTGTGCAAATTCAAGTTTGTTAATTGCCTATTTCTCGTGTGCGCTGGGAAAGTTTTGTTTACAAGAGAAATTATGGAAGAATTTTTTTGTTAATAACATATATATTGTCACTTGCGACGTGTATTCAGAGGATGGCATTATTATTTATAGAAAAACCTTGTGCTGATTTATGGGAATTTTTTCGCCCACCTATGGGAAAGCATTTCCAGGCGTAAACCCTTAACTGTTTTGTAAATAAATGCGATTATTTTCCAACTTATTTTCGTGTCGATCGAAAACGAAGCATGAAACCAGATTTTTTTTGCTGCAAAATTTCGGACATTTTAGCCTTGTTATAATTAATAGCATGCATTTTGTTTGCAAAAAATAAGTACAGAAAAAAATGGCATAAAACCACTGTTGGCACAACAGATGCAACTGTATGTATGGGTACTGAGATGAGTGCCCATAGCTCTCCCCCCCGAACCCCCCGAAAAGCTACCGAAAACAACTACCCCCCCACGAAAAGCATTGACCCCCCCGAACAGCTATAGTTCTAGAGCTTGGCCGGCTGCAACAATGCGGTCTGTGGCCACTTGCTCGCACTACTCTGTCAGTATGTTCTAAAACTTACATTCTAACTCAAAGTGAGATTACCGATTAACTAATAGTACAGATCGGTGTGTGACAAGAATGCATGCAGATAGGTACGAACAACTTGTTGCGATGGTTATCGAGTAAGCTGTGGCTATATATGCCCGGCAGCCGGGCACGGTCTTCGATTTCCTAAATGCTCGGCAGTTCCTAACCCTAACCCCCAGCCCTAACCTTAACCCTAACCCTAACCCTAACCCTAACCCTTGTTTACTTGAGATAATGCTAAAAATTAAAAACTGCCGGGCATTTAGGAAATCGAAGACCGTGCCTGGCAGCCGTCGGATATATGCTGGCTGACGGGCATATAGCCACTCTGTTCCTGTGCTACTAGGTACTTCTACAGACTGACTGGCTGGTTGCTGGAGGTGCGTGCGGACACAGCGAACTCGTACTTCTTCCCCTGTACATGGGGGCATGCTGCAGACTTGACAGCCTTGCAAGGGATCTCTTCGCACTGCTGCCGTGCCTTGTTTTCTCACGTGAGATCGGCACCACCACAGGTAAGACTAGGCGGCGCAGTCTTTGACAGACTGGTTTCGTAGCTAAGCGACCTATCTTTGATTCTACAGCCGGTTGTATCTCAGGTTGGCACTGCCATCGCTTTGCACCAGGTGGCGACTTATGCAGTGCTCTTGTGAAGAGGACAGAGAAGGTTAGAGAAATCCAACGCCGCTCAAATGGTTGTTGGCGTCGATCGCCTCCATCCTGCTGTTGCATTCGTATTGCGTGGCAGCGGAGTCTAAAGTGCTCTTTAACAGATGTTTTCTAGAGCACTTGTCCGAGCTTCTTCGGAGGCTGCGTCGGCCTTGGCAATGACCCTTGCATGCACTGCGTGACCTTCGACGAGCAGATGTTACTTGTTTTTCAAGCGATTTGCGATTGGTTTGCCTGCTCTGTCTTCAGAAATTTCCGGCATAGCCAAAATGCTGCTGGGGGGGGGGGATCAATGTGATTAGTATCAGCAGAGCTGTCTGTTACGCAGGTTTTCAGTGAAAAAAAATCAGTTCTACGTCATTTATGCTTGTATATGTGCCGGAAAGCATGGCCCTGTACGAAACACAGGCTGTGGATTCCAGTAGCCCAAGTTGGGGTCAACACTTTTTCTCTGATAAGAAATGCCACGACTGCTAATTGCATGCCTGTTTACTATGGAATGTTACTATAGAGCTGCCACCTGCTGATAGAGACAGACTGACGCCACGTTCTTTTTAGTATGAGCAATTAACTATTGAAAATATAGGAAAACATGGGGTTGGGGAATTTATTCTTAAAAATCAAAGGTCAAGGGGTCAAAGGTCAAGGGGTCAAACTTAAAACTGTTAAATTCTAATTGGGAGGTGTCTACTACACCGTTGTGATTGAAACAGATATTTGATATCTACTTCTATTTTGTTGCATTGCAGTTCGAAAGTTGACGAAATTCGAGGTTTTAGCCGGCCTGTGACCGAATAGAGAGGTGACGTCGTGACACGGATTCATTCATAGATGGTAACTGGCATGCACGAATAACATTTTTTTTTCACCGTGACGTCACAACGTGTGGAGGTTAGCATATATGCAAGCGAAGGATTTTTAGCGGCAATTATTACCGGCCTTTAAGGTACCACGGTGGCAAATCAACCAATGAGCGCTGGGATAGGGCAAAAAAGAGATCGTATTTGAGTGTACGCGTACGCTTGAATTTTGTATTTCTCATTAGAAAGGGTCAACACTCTTTGCAAATGTTAATTTCAAAAACTAGAATCTTTTCTGAATCCGACAGTGTAAACGGCTCGTCCGAGGTACGTTGCTGGGGCGGCCCAGGAATTTTCAAAGAAAGCCTACTTTTTGTGCAAATTCAAGTTTGTAAATTGCCTATTTCTCGTGTGCGCTGGGAAAGTTTTGTTTACAAGAGAAATTATGGAAGAATTTTTTTGTTAATAACATATATATTGTCACTTGCG